TTGAAAAAAAAATGATTTATGATAATTTTTTAATCGCTCAATTCCATGACAGCTACCGCCATTATTATATGACATTTGAACAATTTAATTTTTGAAATAGATAGTCACATGTCTTTTCTTTATGTCACAGGTGATAATCACTAAATTTGACTTTTAGGCTGTACAAATTTTTTTGACAGGTAGTACTTTAGACTTTTCGTCCAAAAATTTTAAATATTTTTTTCTTAAAAATGCTTCCAGACCGCGACAAAATATCGCGATTTTGTAAGTCCTCCAAGATCCGAGAGGCCCCTTCGCTGTCTCAGGCCCGTAGCCCCCGTTATACTAAAGATTTCACTGCTCATCATCAGTAATGAAGCTAGAATGCAAGTTATGCTGTGTATTTTTTGTAATTTAAAATGTTTATTCAGTAAAAATAAATAATGAAACCACTGAAAAATAACTTAAAAGCTAAAATAAATAAATTCAGTCTCAAAATATATAAAAAATAATAATTATTCGATATTTTAAACAAAGAAAATTATCCCTTGATTTAATATCCTAAATAGAAAATGCCATTGACAATTACTGGGGCCTGATAATTGATAATTAAGTAAATATCTGCTTCCATTTATACTGTTTATAGTTGGCGTATAAGTATGGTTTGCATACTCCACCTACAAACTGCTTTATAACTACTAAACATATATTGGCCTTGTTTGCCAGTTGAATAAAAAATTACTTATTAAGATTCGGAGGCCCCCTAAAAGACGGGGCCCGGGGCGGACCGCCCCTTCCGTCCCCCCCTCCTTAGTCCGAAGATTAATAAAGTTATGGAATTCTTAGACAGCATCAACATAACGAAAAAACTTTAATTTCTAACTTAAAATAATTTAAAATAACCTCATATTAAATAAAGCTTATTATTGAGCGCTAAAAAAACCTCCCTATTGACGCGCTCTATAAATCAATACCTCTCTCTCTCTCTCTCTCTGCCTAAGACTTAGCTCCATCCTGTAGTGTTAACCAATACCCAAAATTCCAAACACACGTGCTTTGATGAAGGCTTGATTAAGGTTTGTAAAGCTTCAGCGTTTGCCATAAAATAGCGAGCAATTTATTACAAAACCATATAAATTATATATCACTGTAATCACAAAACTTTAATCTATTTCCGTCTTGTAACGGCATTTTAAATTATGTCTTTATTTTCGAAAAAATTTAGTCCAAACATAAGGAATATTTTGTTGATGTTTGACCATCAAAATCTTAGAAATAAAGAAGTTATCTAAAAATGTGCTACTATACGGATATAGTATACTCCTTTATCTTAAATTTTCCTCTTCATTTGTGTAAAAATACCTAGCCAGTTTTACATAAAACGTTAAATGCCGAAGTCGTATTTACTACTTTTTTTACTAGTAAAATTGACTCTTAAGAGACACCGTATATAGTACTGTATAAATAAACTACAGCCCTCAAAATCCTACATTTTATTCAACAACTGTTCGAAAACCCTAATATTACTCGAGCCTCAGGTCGAACAACAAAAACCATCAAATATTCAACGAACACGGCTGCCGCGGCTAATCTGGCTAGATCGGTTCGCCGCACCGTAAATCTACGGACGGAATCTCATCCTGTCGGAATTACGTTTTCATCGGTGGACGTTGTCCTGCCGGCTTCACCATCATGCATCAGCGCAAAGCGTCGATTATTTCGCGACTCGAAAATTGCCATTTTCCATCGCTGCGGTTTCCATTAGGCTTTTCCGGCCGCAATTGATTCGGGGCGGGGGTAAGCCATAAGCATACCTGGGATTTATTCATTTTAAATAGTGATTATTCTTTTATTTGATAATGGGCTATGAGCCAACTTCAGACTGTGTTAAATGGTTTCCAAGTATGTTAGTATATAACATGAATTAGGATTGAATGACGTATTCAATTCTTTTCGACCGCTTCCTGTTTCACCGGAAATGACTACAACTTTTCATTTTTAAATGGCACCTATGACATGCATTTTCGCTTAAATCAAAATTGTATTTTAAATTTCAATCTAGGGTGCCATGGCTGTGTTAAAAACACTAATTTTTAATCAAATAGCCTTGGAAAAATAGATTTGATCGTCTAAAGTTTTTTGGTGTCTTATCCTGGCCGGTTAAAAGATGCCCTACGATAATGTACTAGTATCCCTCGGTTAGCCATAAAAATATTGACAAACTGTATATTCAGGACTGTTTTGTCTATTAAAACAGACAAATTTCGCGCACCCTGTACAGAGTTAGAAGTTAAAAGCTACTTTTAAAGGGACACACCCTTTTCTATAAGAGATAGACGAAAACTAATATCGGTGTCTGGAGCTCAATTTTTATCAAAAACATGATGTGAAAACCGCACATCGATATCTGTTACCGTTTATGTGTTACGGGGTGTTTTTCAAAAATGAGCATTTTTAAAAAATGGCTGTAACTTCTTTGCTATGGAAGATTTTGTATTTTTATGAAAACCTCTCCAAAGCACCTTTTTACTTAGAATTTAATGGTTTAAGTATAATTTTTTTAAAATTAATAATTTAAGAGTTATCAACAGAAAAGTTGACTTTTTATTTGTGACACCCTGTATATTTTTAATTAAATGAAAAGAGCTTAAAGTTACCTTTCTAAAAATATAGCACACTTGATATTTTGTTATAGTCTCCTTCGAAATACAGAATTTTTAAAAGTTCACCACTTTTAACTAGTAGGCTTTAGACACCTTATTGATGATAATGCCCCTAATCTAATAGAACTAAAAATATATTTTTCCAGCAAGACAAGTCACCGCCTCAGGACGATGAAGTTATTAGCAAATTTTTGCAGCCAATTTCGAGAATAATTGAACAGCTACCCAAGATCCCAGCCGTTAGCCATCGAGGCCGCCGAGGCCGCTAAACTTAGTGCCTATGGATTTTTATCTTTGCGGAAGAATAAAGGTTCTTATTTTTAAATTGTCGTATAATCTAGACAGGAATTAGAAGTACCTTCTTAGCATTTATGCGAGGTTATCTTTCACTCCCACTGAGTTAATGATTTCCGCGAGAAATATTCAAAAATGGTCCCGTCTGTCCATAACAGTAGACGGTCGACATGTGGACATGTAGCAAAATCACATGTCTTGGTTTGTTATTCATTTTTATTGTTATTGATATGGTTTAAATGTGTTGATGCTGTTAAATATAGTGTAAATTGTTTTAAAATTCTGCATCTCTCATTGCAAATAGTATTTTCGTTTTAACTGCTGCTCACAGCTAAAACTTTTTGGATTACAGCCGGCGCCGTTCAAAGCCTACTTATTCAAAATGTGCGAATTTTTAAAAAATCTATATCTCGAAGAGCAATTAAGCAAAATATCAAGTATGCTATATTTTTGGAAAGGTCATTTTAAATTATTTTCAATGAATTAAAAATACACAGGGTGTCCCATAGAGAAAATCAAATTTTCTGTTGATAATTCTTAAATTATTAATTTTACAAAAACTATACTTAAACCATTAAATTCTACGTAAAAAGGTGCTTTGGAAATGCTTTTATAAAAATACAAAATTTTCCATAGAAAAAAAGTTACAGAGATTTGTTAAAAATGCACATTTTTGAAAAACACCCTGTAACTCATAAACGGTAACAGAAATCGATGTGCGGTTTTCACCATCATGTTTTTGATAAAAATTGAGCTCTAGACACCGATATTAGTTTTCGTCTATCTTCTATAGAAAAGGGTGTTTCCCTTTAAAAGCGTTCAATTTGACCCACCCTGTACATCCATCGTAAATTAGGCGCACATCTTGAACCGCTAAAACGACCCCTAATTCAGATCCGATACCCGTTCTAGTCGAATCCAGTATACGATTTCTATTCTAATTTAATCTGGCCGGGGCCAGCCGAGAAGAAATTTTATTTTATTTAGCCCGATAACTTAGCCCGACCCCGAGAGACCCGCCGCTAAATGAAAATCGGTCGCAGTTTATCTGCTCCAGAAGAAAATTATGGCCCTATCGATTCTGCGGTTGGAACAGCCCCGCTGTGTATGTAATTATGCGCTATGCTTTATATAATTAAGCCATTTATGGCTTATGTGGGGAGGCAATGTGCACAATTTAAAATTATTTTGAAATATACAGGGTGTTTCAGAACTAAGATCCATACCAAAGTTATATTTTTTCTTAAGGAACATCCAGTATTTTATTTCATTTTTGAATTCTTGGAAAAAAGGCATTTATTATAAGGGTTAAATATGTTTAAAATCTTTGGTTTTTGAGATATTTAAAACCCTTAATTACTACCGACGGGTCCTGAGGACCCATCGGATTTTCAGTTTTGCTATATTTCTCAGATATTTTAATTTTGCGCGCCGTCCGTCCCTGTACTCTCCTACCATAAGAACTGCTTCGCATCGCTAGTAAAACCCATCAGTCAGTGTTAAGAGTTGCGGAGCAATAGTGACAAGTGGGTCCTGGGGACCCATCAGTAGCAATTGTGTAACGATCTTTTAAATTAATTATTTTGTGTTTAGAGATAGAATAAGGCGTTATTTTTTAACCGCATGAAATATTGTACAGGTAGGTGATTTTCATGTTGATGCATTATCAAAATAAAGGTTTCGGCAAGGCCGCACAAACTTCTTCGCATATATATGTGTTGTGTTATTACTAGAATATATTTTTTTTTATTTTAGCTAAAATACATAATACAATCTCTATTGCTTTATTATCCTAATTACCCTTAAGTCAAATACAGAATTGATAAAACACGCACACACACACATACATAAACATAAATTTTTGTTGAAAAAAAAAGTTTTTCGTACTGTAGGATCTGTAAGGGTCATAATTCGTGGAGATTTGTAATAAAAAAAATCGATTTTTCGGACGACTACAATTCTTTCTCTTGCGAGGTGGGGCATTGATGAAATTCACATCAAATAAAGAGTTTGATATGCAGAATAAATGAAGATCAAGACAGGCTTTTTTTCATTTTCAGCAAAATGGCGTACAGTTCAAGAAATTTGTCAACAGAACAATTGAGAGAGATTTTAGAAAGTGAACAGTTTTGGGAAGATGAAGAATCTGCTGTACATGAAGTGCCCGACCAGGAGGATGATACAACAACCCTATTGGATGAAGTTAACACACTGGAAGAAATTGAGGCCTTTGCTGACGAAAGTGACAAGGAAGATGACGAGGCAATTTTTAGCGACCACAATACCGACAGTGAGTTAGAAGTTTCAGACTCGGATGAAGAAGCGCCTACCATTACTAGAAATGCCTGGTATGGAAAAGATGGTACTAAATGGTCAAAAACGCCAGTTATTAGGGGTCGCACGGCATCTCATAATTTAGTCACGGTTCTGCCAGGACCTAAAGGAACTGTCCGAAACAATCCTCCATCAACGCCCCTCCAGGCTTGGAGCTTACTGCTAACTGATGATATGCTGGGACAATTAGTTATATATACGAATATAAAAATAGGTACGTGTCGAGAAAAATACCGTAAGTTTAAAAGACGCCTACATTCAAAAAAGAAGTGTAGGCCTGTATTCACCAGCGATACCACATTGTCCGAAATGAGAGCATTTTTGGGCCTTTTATACTTACAAGGAATTTTCAAATCTGGTCACGAGGACATTAGGTCAATGTGGGCTACGGATGGAACAGGAAGGCCTATTTTTCGCGCCACCATGAGTCTTGCTCGATTTTCATTTCTATTAAGTTGTATAAGGTTTGATGACGTCACAACTCGAAAAGAAAGGACTATTACAAATAAACTAGCTGCAATTTCAGAATTTTTTGACAAATTTGTCGAAAATTCTAAGTTATCGTATAGCCCAGGATATTATTTAACTGTTGACGAGATGCTAATACCGTTTCGTGGGAGATGTTCGTTCAGAATGTTTATTCCCAGCAAACCTGCCAAATATGGCATTAAAGTTCAAATTTTGACAGACGCAAAGACTCATTATATGGTCAATGCAGAAATATATTGCGGTGCTGAAATAAAAACAGCTGAACCCAAATCCAAGCTATCAAATCCTACAAGAGTTGTTTTACGACTAGCACAGTGTGTTGAAGGTACTAAAAGAAATATAACTGGCGACAACTGGTATAGCTCAGTTGAACTTCTTGAGGCTCTCAAAGAAAAAAAAATAACATATGTGGGCACTTTGAAGAAAAATAAGAGAGCCATACCTCCTGAATTTTTACCTCATAGGAATAGACAAGTTGGTTCTTCAATTTTTGGATTTTCTGCATCTAATACCATAGTCTCTTACGTCCCGAAAAAAGGCAAAGGTGTCATTTTACTTTCCAGCATGCACCATAGTTTTTCAATAAACCAAGATACGCTGAAGCCAGAAATAATTCATTTTTATAATGAGACAAAATCAGGTGTAGACGCCCTAGATGCAAAGTGTGCGAAATATTCTACGTCTAGAAGAACAAATCGGTGGCCAGTAGCGATTTTTCATGCCATCTTAAATATTGCCGGTGTCAATTCTCGGGTAATATACCAATTTTCTAAAGATGGTGAAGAAATTTCGCGATATGACTTTATAAAACAACTTGGAATGCAGTTAATTGACGAGCACGTGCGTTCCAGAATGGTCAACCCTAAAGTACCATTGAAAATCCACAATTTAATAGCTGATGTTCTACAAATCACAATTCCAGTTGAGAAAGAAGTCACAGAACCTGTAATTAAAAGCAAGCGAAAGAGATGTGGTATTTGTCCCGCCAAGAAGGATAGGAAGACAGCCATTAATTGTGATGGTTGTAAAATACCAATTTGCAATCAATGTTGCAAAAAAATGTGTCCGAAGTGTTTAGATAAGTAGTTTGATGTTTTTTTAATCCTTAAAGGTATCTTGTAAGTGTTTTGATGAATAAAATTTATAATTTTCAAATTTGGGTAATTAATACATACATATATATATAATGGGTCCTGGGGACTCGTGGATAGTACCAACGTAACATCAATTAGTCAGTAGTAGCTAAGGGTTAAAGATATTTAAATATGCATGCTCCAATAGAATAGATTATTAACACCCTGTACATTACTTTTCAGAATTAATTTTTGTGCTTAGTTTAAAAGTAGAGAAATAAACTTTACTGAAAAATGTTATTGGTTCCTTAAATTTATACAGCGGTACCAAAAATTGCTGATCTATTTTAAAATTTTATTTTATATTAAAACTTACCCTGTATTTTTTAAAATAAATCGAAGCAGATTCAAATGCTCTTTGAAACTATATTAAGGGTTTCTATACCTATCTGGCTCAACTTTTGAATAAAAAACGATTTTTAAATAAAATGGCAATCGAGATGGCTGGTGTTGCCATGGCAATTTTCTAGTGACAGTTAGTAACTATTTTCAACAGCTCAAGTCAAGGAATCGTTTAAAACCATTTTCAAAACTGTGCGAATTTTTTCTACTCAATTTTCTAATTTGACTGGGCTATTACAAGTTGAAAAAGCCATATTTTGTTCGAATATGTCTACGAAAAATCGAAATGACAGATGCAAGAAGAACGAGCAAAGTATTATTATACTTTACGAGAAAATTATACCGAAAGGGGGCAGACCAACCACTCCACACACTCCAACCGATAGAGACATACGCGGAGGACAGAGATTGGGGGGCGGGCACCCCGGCCGACCCTCCAATCCCCTCGAATTACATACACAGCGGGACTGTTCCAACCGCAGAATCGATAGGGCCATAATTTTCTTCTGGAGCAGATAAACTGCGACCGATTTCCATTTAGCGGCGGGTCTCTCGGGGTCGGGCTAAGTTATCGGGCTAAATAAAATAAAATTTCTTCTCGGCTGGCCCCGGCCAGATTAAATTAGAATAGAAATCGTATATGGGATTCGACTAGAACGGGTATCGGATCTGAATTAGGGGTCGTTTTAGCGGTTCAAGATGTGCGCCTAATTTACGATAGATGTACAGGGTGGTTCAAATTGGACGCTTTTAAAGGGAAACACCCTTTTCTATAGAAGATAGGCGAAAACTAATATCGGTATCTGGAGCTCAATTTTTATCAAAAACATGATGGTGAAAACCCCACATCGATTTCTGTTACCGTTTATGAGTTACAGGGTGTTTCTCAAAAATGTGCATTTTTAACAAATCGCTGTAACTTTTTTTCTATGGAAAATTTTGGATTTTCATAAAAGCATTTCCAAAGCACCTTTTTACGTAGAATTTAATGGTTTAAGTATAATTTTTGTAAAATTAATAATTTAAGAATTATCAACAGAAAATTTGATTCATTGAAAATAATTTAAAATGACCAAAAATATAGCATACTTGATATTTTGCTTAATTGCTCTTCGAGATATAGATTTTTTAAAAATTCGCACATTTTGAATAAGTAGGCTTTGAACGGCGCCGGCTGTAATGCAAAAAACTTTTAGCTGTGAGCAGCAGTTAAAACGAAAATACTATTTGCAATGAGAGATGCAGAATTTTAAAACAATTTACACTATATTTAACAGCATCAACACATTTAAACTATATCAATAACAATAAAAATTAATAACAAACCAAGACATGTGATTTTGCTACATGTCCACATGTCGACCGTCTACTGTTATGGACAGACGGAACCATTTTTGAACATTTCTCGCGGAAATCATTAACTCAGTAGGAGTGAAAGATAACCTCGCATAAACGCTAAGCAGGTACTTCTAATTCCTGTCTAGATTATACAATTTAAAAATAAGAGCCCTTATTCTTCCGCAAAGATAAAAATCCATAGGCACTAAGTTCAGCGGCCTCGGCGGCCTCGATGGCTAACGGCTGGGATCTTGGGTAGCTGTTCAATTATTCTCGAAATTGGCTGCAAAAATTTGCTGAAAACTTCATTGTCCTGAATAATTCTTTTACTTCACACGAAATGCGTTACCCGGGAACACTACGACTCTGAAGGAGGAGTAGTGTTGCCGGTATCGAATTGAGTGTCAGGCAAAAGTATTAGGTAATCCCGAAACATCGAATTGTATTCAAAAGATTATACAACGAAATAAAGTATATACCGGGTGCGTTTCAAAAGTCGCTCACTCCACTAACTTTTTTATTTTTTCAGATAAAAAAACGAGATTTGGTATGTTAGTATATGACATAAATTAGGATTGATTGACGAATTCAATTGTTTCCGGTCACTTCCTGTTTCACCGGAAATGACTACAACTTTTGATTTTTAAATGGCAACCTCTCTATTTTTTTTACTTTATTCGATGGAAAATAACACTCTGAATAGAAAGACATATCATATATCAACTTTTGACATTTTCCAAATGGTTTATTTGAAATTATAACTTGCGGTTCGTAACGAAAATTTGACTCGAAATACCCAGTGTGTGGTATGAAATTATTCGTAAAAATCGCTTTTTCCAAATTTGCTAATTAAGCTCCCTCGTTCCATTTGAAAAAATTGAGATATGATTAAAAATACGATTTGAGCATTTTCTAACTGGTCAGGATAAGACACTAAAAACATTAGAAGATCAGATTTATTTTTCCAAGGCTCCTTGATTAAGAATTAGTGTTTTTAACATAGCCATGACACTCTAGATTGAATTTTAAAATACAATTTTTTATTAAGCGAGAATGTCAAAAAAGTTGACATGTGATTGTCATTCTATTCAGAATGACATTTTCTATCGAATAAAGTAAAAAATTACCAAGGGTGTCATTTGAAAACCAAAAGTTGTAGTCATTTCCGGTGAAACAGGAAGTGACCAAAAACAATTGAATACGTCAATCAATCCTAATTTATGTCATATACTAACATACCAAATCTCGTTTTTTTATCTGAAAAAATAAGAAAGTTATAGGGGTGAGCCACCGGTATATCCTTATTATTCTAGACGTTTTTATTATAATAAATTTTACCAAATCTTTCTTTTGACATTTTGTAATAAGAATTGACGGGATATTTTGTGGAACTGACAGAAATGACTTCTGAATTAATATTTCAAAAAATGACAATTACAGTATGGACACCAAGCGATAATCACTTAAATGATTATCACTTAGGCTGTATTCCGTTGCAAATCCAGGCGAACCAGACCGGTAAACTACGGTGAAGAGCGGTTCCTGAAAAACATCGGTTTCATACGGAACGGTTTGGTAAAATACTGGAAATGTCAAATGTTGACGTTTTCTAAATTTTGAATACCTTTATTATAAAATTTATCTTTTATGCATTTTTAATGTACCTATTCTCTGCTTTTACGTTTGCTTCTTCTTTTCAGTGGAGTTTAATATTGAAAAGTACTTTATTAATAAACTGTTAAACTCGTTAGACAGCTCAAGTGAAGATTTGCAGGTCCAATATTAAAACAGATCAATAAAAAATAAACAAATCTAAATCAATATTTATATTTTTATAGCTTACAAAATATTCACGATTACTTCTTGTCTTGTTTTTCATGTTTTCTTTAAATGTTCCTGACATGGTTCCTGACTACAAGAAACAATGGCTGCGTGATAAGTTTAAATGGTCCTAAAAAGTCATTCTATTTAGTTAATGAAATTTATTTACCTTTCCTGCCTACCTCCATTGCTTTTGGATGTAAATACAAAATATTATAACAAATTTTAGAAATTAAATGAGAATTTCACTCGAAATTCCAATAATTGCTGGATTTCTCTCACATAAATGACATTGATTGACAAACAAAACCAGAAAAACCAGCCTTCTCGCGCTGGTTAGTTTGGTGACAGTCATGTGACAGTTATAACCGAATTTTTTAGGAACCGTGTTCCGTAATAAGAAAACTTTCAAGAAACCCATAGAAACGGAACATAAAACCATAACCAAGGTAAGCAACGGAATACATCCTTATTAATCACATCCTTCTATATAGGAAAAATATACATAGAGTTGTACCATCTAAATACGTCTACACCTTTGGTTTACACCATGTCTACACTAAATAACTGTCAGTGAAACATTCACATTAGACCATTAATAAATTCCCAGTTACAATCAATATTTTAGAAAAAAATATCATAACACTTGTGTCTGTTTCCTAGTAGTCACTCATAAAATCCTAAAACGCATTTAGCAAACCAATTTGGAAAGAAACCCATTTCGTTGGGCCCGTCATCAGGATCGAAACGAGGATTAATGCTCCGAACTAATCGAGTTCGATCTCTGCTAGATCACCGTCGCCTATTAAAGTTGGCGGGTAAAACGTGACAAATCTGCTTTATTTGGCACCGGATCGCTTTAAATTGCCCCCCTTCGCGCTGTAGCACCGGAAAAGTTATTGGCTGAAAGTTTCTCGCGCGAGATTGCTGCAAGTTTGCCACCAGACGTATTCTCTTCGTCTTTTAGAAGTACAAGACACATCACTTCTGCAGTAAGTACCTAGCGGAATAAAATGAAATTCATTGCTGCTGTTCGTTTTAGAAGATGTATATGTATATAAAGAGTTAGAAATCTGCGATTTAAACATTAAATCGTTAATTTAAAAATTTACTTACTTAAAATTATCTAAATACCTACTTTCACTTCTGCAATAAGTATTTTCTTGTTCTTACGCCGCGCCGAGCCGTACCTGTTTCACAAGTACACGGTGGCTTTACAAGGCAAATATACTCAAGGTGGTTTGCCATTGCTTTCCTTGCGGTAGCTACTCGCTGGTAGCCTTACTTAAATAAATTAATTATTATAATTAATTGCATAAATGCAATGGGGAAGGTATGGATGTGGTATGGTCGTAATGATGGAGACATTCTTTTTAATACTAAACTTTAAAAATAAACTTATAAAAAAAATATTCATTCAGTACAATATGCTCTTTAAATCCTTGATATTCT